AGATGGAGATAGTGAGATAGAGAGGTAGGTAGGTAGGTAGGTAGATAAAGATAGACATGGAGAGAGAGTTAGAGATAGGTAGGTAGATAAAGATAGACAGATGGAGATAGAGAGGTAGGTAGGTAGGTAGATAAAGATAGACAGACACAGATGGAGATAGGTAGGTAGGCAGATAAAGATAGACAGACAGACAAACAGATGGAGAGAGAGAGAGATAGGTAGGTAGGTAGATAAAGACAGACAGACAGATGGAGAGAGATAGGTAGGTAGATAAAGAGACAGACGGAGAGAGAGATAGGTAGGTAGCTAGATAAAGATAGACAGACAGATGGAGAGAGAGAGAGATGGAGATAGATAGATAGATAGATGATAGATAGATAGATAGATAGATAGATAGATAGACATAGATAGATAGATAGATAGATAGATAGATAGATAGATAGATAGATAGACAGACAGACAGACAGACAGACAGACATAGATAGATAGATAGATAGATAGATAGATAGATAGATAGATAGATAGATAGATAGATAGATAGAGATTGATGGAGATAGATAGACAGATGGAGATAGTGAGATAGAGAGATAGAAAGAGAGAGAGAGAGAGAGAGAGAGAGATGATAGATTTATTTATTCTTCTGCTAGGACAGTGGTGGCGAACCTATGGCATGCGTGCCAGAGGCGGCACTCAGAGCCCTCTATGTGGGCACATGTGCCATTGCCCCAGTCCTAGGCCTTCAGCTGGGTTTTATAAAACCTTTTCGCTTTAGGCCTCCACCGCCATGTGCCAAAAAAAAAAAAATCAATTTCAACTTCTCGCGGGGAAAAAAAGATCTCGCAAAGTTGGAATTGATTGATTGAACTTTTTAGTCCCACCCAGTCTGCCGTTACCACCTCAGCCATGCCCACCCAATGGGTGACACCCACCCAATGGGCCACGCCCACCCGGCACCCGACGATACATAAGTGGGTTTTGGGTTGCAGTTTGGGCACTCGGTCTCTAAAAGGTTCGCCATCACTGTGCTAGGAAATAAGTCAAGGGCAGCCCCAGAGCTGTGCAAGCCCACAACAGAGAGGCTGTGAAGACAAACCTAAAAAAAATAAAATAAAATTGTAGCCAGCTCAGGGCTTTTGGGGATGAAAGGATCTTCGCCAAACGCTGAAGCTTTCCCGGAGAGATTGCAAAGATAAAAGGGGCGATTGAGGCGTATTCTGGAAGGGAGCAAAACAATCTGGAAAGGGTGTTTGTGGGCCAAGGATCCAGTCTGGACCTGCTGCTGCCGCCGAAACATTTGTGTAAAACAACCATCTGGAGGTTTTCTTTGGTGGTGTTGGCCTAATGACATTACCGGTGAGTTTTCTCCTCCAGGAGTACATCCCCGACCTGTACACCCACTTCCTAGAGATCAGCTTAGAAGCCCACATGTACGCCTCCCAGTGGTTCCTCACCCTCTTCACTGCAAAGTTCCCCCTCTACATGGTCTTCCACATCATCGACCTGCTGCTGTGTGAGGTACGTGCACCCCTGCGGTGGTTTACGCCCCAAAAAAACTCCTCTGAAGCTGGCCCTGACTCAAAAAAAACGGATGCCTGAGAAGGCCCAAAGGTGCTTTTTCAAGAGACTTCCTTGTTTCTCTCTGAAGACATTTCGCTTCTCATCCCAGAAGCTTCTTCAGCTCTGACTGGATGGTGGAGAAGGGAAGGATTTATACTCCTTGCAGAGTGCTGGTCATTTGCCTCCTTTTAGCGGGTCGTTGAGGCCATTTGGAAGTTTACCTATGTCCTCAGGGTCACCTGAACAGTGCAGATGGGTGCTGCAGGATGTTTTCTGCCCTGTGTCCCTACAAAAATTGAGATGCAGGCAATCCAGACTCTTCCCCAACGGCCTGCGACGGTCTCCAACAATGAAGGGAGACAGGGCAGAAACTGATCAAGGAGAGAAAAAACCTAGAATTAAGGAGAAATTTCCTGACAGTGAGGACAATTAACCAGTGGAACAGCTTGCCACCAGAAATTGTGGACACTCCATCACTAGAGGTTTTTAAGAAGACGCTAGACAGTCATTTCTCTGAGATGGTATAGGTTCTCCTGCTTGAGCAGGGGGCTGGACTAGAAGACCTCCAAGGTCCCTTCCAGCTTCTATTCTATTCATATTCATTCCAGAAGCTTCTTCAGCTCTGACTGGACGGTGCTGAGTAGAAGGGTTTATATTCCTTGCAGTCATCTGCTCATTAGTACTCTTTCTGAGAGTCGTTGAGGCCACGTGGAGGTTTACCTGTGTCCTCAGGGTCACCTGAGTGGTGCAAATGGGTGTGGGGCCTTCTTGGGCTGCAGGATGTTCTCTGCCCTGGGTCCCTTCCCTGTTGGAGATGGGCACAGGCTGTTGGGGATGAGTCTGTGTTGTCTGGATCTCAAACCGAAGCGCAAATGGTTCCCGTAGTCGGCAATGTTTTCTGGAAATCCGTTCAGACTCCCTCACCCTTCGAAGGGGGTTCATCCCAAAGGACATAGCTGAATGTCTACATAGATCCTCAGTCATCCAGGTCCTGGTTGTCCCAAAGGTGCTTTTTCAGGAGGCCACTGGACTTTCTTGTTTTTCTTTGAAGATGTTTCGCTTCTCATCCCAGAAGCTTCTTCAGCTCTGACTGGATGGAGGGGAAGGGAAGGATTTATTTATTTATTTATTTATTTATTTATTTATATTTGAATTTATATCCCGCCCTTCTCCCGTAGGACTCAGGGCGGCTGACAATCTATTTAAAATACATACAAAACAATACAAATTTAAAATTAATTAAAAAGAATATTAAATATTTGTCGAATTTAAAATATAATTAAAACCCCCCTAAAAATTACCCTAGGCCANTCGCTCAGGCTCTTTAAAAAGGGCCATTTCAAGAAGTGGGGTGGGGGGGCTTACTTCCAAGGACACCCCAGGACTGCTGTAATAAGAGGGATCTTCAATCCTGAACAGGGGATCCAGCGGGCAAGGCCACCTGAGCATCTCTGCCAGTTTGCCCAAAATTGCAGCCCAAACGAGAATGGGCTAGTTTTAAAAAAATGGGAAAAAAACCAAATCTCCCTGGCCAAATCAAACCATCCCAGTTTGCTCAAAGACAAAGGACAGAGTAGTCCTCGGCTTAACGACCACGATTTAGCCCAAAACGTATGTTGCTGAGCGAGACGTTTGTTAAGGGAGTTTTGTCCCATTTTACGACTTTTTTTCCCCCCGGCCGCACTGGTTAAGCGAATCGCTGCAGTCTTAACGTCACGTGGTCGTTAAGTGAATCTGGCTCCCCCCATTGACTTTGCGTGTCGGGAGGTCGCAAAAGATGGTCACGTGACCCCCGGGGACACTGCGCCCGTCATAAATATGAGTCGGTCGCCCCACGCGTCCGAATTTTGATCACGTGACCCTGGGGATGGGGCAACAGTTGTGTGAAAACATCGTAAGTCAGTTTTTCAGCACTGTTGTAACTTCAAATGTTATCACTAAACAAGCTGTTGTAAGTCTAGGACAGGGGTCTTCAAACTTGGCCCTTTGATGACTGGTGGACTTCAACTCCCAGAATTCCTCAGCCAGCATGCCTGGCTGAGGAATTCTGGGAGTTGAAGTCTACAAGTCATAAAAAGGTCATAGTTCCCTCAGGCTGGCTGAGGAATTCTGGGAGTTGAAGTCCACAAGTCATAAAAGGGTCATATTTCTCTCACGCTGGCTGAGGAATTCTGGGAGTTGAAGTCTACAAGTCATAAAAAGGTCATAGTTCCCTCACGCTGGCTGAGGAATTCTGGGAGTTGAAGTCCATAAGTCATAAAAGGGTCATAGTTCCCTCAGGCTGGCTGAGGAATTCTGGGAGTTGAAGTCCACAAATCATAAAAAGCTCATAGTTCCCTCAGGCTGGCTGAGGAATTCTGGGAGTTGAAGTCCACCAGTCATCAAAGGGCCAAGTTTGAAGACCCCTGGTCTAAGTAGAACTACCTGTAGAATCTTCCCACTGTGGGTCCCTGCCTGTCTCTCACAGGTTGCCCATCCTTGCAACAACGTCTTTTGTAGTTGTGCGTTCCTGGGTGTCACATTTGCCAAAGAGGCCAGGTTTCCTCTGTTTGCCTTTCAGGGTTTTGTCCTTTGCAAGGGGCTAGTCCACAATTTCTCTTCAAACACCCCATTGAGAATTTCTATCGCTGGAAAGGCGGTCTGGTCCCTTCCTATGCATTTTGCATTGTCTTTCCATTGAATTCCTGAAATATATATATTTTTCTCCCCTCTGGCCTTTACAAGTTATTTTTAAACACTTGGGTGGATTCCCCCCCCCTCCCCAAACGCCCTCCTGTCAGATACTAAGTGATGCTTCCCAGGGCTTCCGGCTCATTCCTCACCCAGTCAGGCGACCTTCGTTTATTTCCTTTTTTTTTTATTTTTTAAATTCCTCATCCTTCATCTCCTTTGAAGGATGGCCAGAGTATCCCTGACAGGTAAATAGAAAAAGACCCAGCACGTCTGTGAAAAAGCAGACTTCCTGCTGGATTGACAGAAGCCCATTCCCCCCCCCTCCCCTTTCACTAACACACACACACAAAAAAAGGACATGACACATTATTCAAACATATCCAAAACATGGGAGACAGGATGGGCTTTGCACCACCCAGCTCATTGTATTTGAAACACAGGAGATTTGGGGTCTTGGAGCCACGTTTAAACCACCTTATGAGTCGTGGTTAGAATGCAGCCCCGCACGCTACTTCTGCTGACTGCCGACTGTCGGCAGTTCGATGCTCACCGGCTCGAGGTTGGCTCAGCCTTCCAGTCTTGGCTTCTGGGGTGCCCTAAAGAAGGAAGGTGTCCCCGACAAGGGGGGGGGGAGCAGATTTCCTGCCGATGGGCCTGGCTGTGGATCTGCTCGGCCCGTTTTGCGAGGCGTCCTTCTCCGTGTTTAGATTCAGGACCTGTTTGTTTAAACCTTCCTGACAGGAAGGTTTCACTCTCCCCTCTTTTGACAGATGCCTGAAGAACAGGCCTTCAGTGTTCTGGTCAAAATCATGTTCGACTACGGACTCAGGGAGCTTTTCAAACAGAATTTTGAGGACCTGCACTGCAAGTTTTATCAGCTGGAACGCCTCATGCAGGTAAGGATGGCGCGGCCTCGTCTCCCCTTCGGAGAGGTCGCTCAGGTTCACTCGAGAGAAGGGGGCCAACACAAACACGGGCATCAATGTTGGGGCTCCCTCAAAGACCTCCTCTTCACACTGCAATCCCCAGGCGGGGTCTCAAGAGAACCGTCATCCCTTCCTTTCGAAATAGATGATTAGATTAGATTAGATTAGATTAGATTAGATTAGATTAGATTTGGTAGGTAGGTAGGTAGGTAGGTATATATAGACAGACAGATGGAGAGAGAGAAGCAGGTAGATAGGTAGGTAGGTAGATAAAGATAGACAGATGGAGATAGTGAGATAGAGAGAGGTAGGTAGGTAGGTAGGTAGATAAAGATAGACATGGAGAGAGAGTTGGAGATAGGTAGGTAGATAAAGATAGACAGATGGAGATAGAGAGGTAGGTAGGTAGGTAGATAAAGATAGACAGACACAGATGTAGGTAGGTAGGTAGATAAAGATAGACAGACACAGATGTAGGTAGGTAGGTAGATAAAGATAGACAGACAGACAAACAGATGGAGAGAGAGAGAGATAGGTAGGTAGGTAGATAAAGACAGACAGACAGATGGAGAGAGATAGGTAGATAGGTAGATAAAGACAGACAGACAGATGGAGAGAGATAGGTAGGTAGATAAAGATAGACAGACGGAGAGAGAGGTAGGTAGCTAGATAAAGATAGAGAGACAGATGGAGAGAGATGGAGATAGACAGATAGACAGACAGACAGACAGACAGACAGACAGACATAGATAGATAGATAGATAGATAGATAGATAGATAGACAGACAGACAGACAGAGATAGATAGACAGACAGACAGACAGACAGACAGACAGACAGACAGACAGAGATAGATAGATAGATAGATAGATAGATAGATAGATAGATAGATAGATAGATAGATAGATAGATAGATAGAGATTGATGGAGATAGATAGACAGATGGAGATAGTGAGATAGAGAGATAGAAAAAGAGAGAGAGAGAGAGATGATAGATTTATTTATTCTTCTGCTAGGAAATAAGTCAAGGGCAGCCCCAGAGCTGTGCAAGCCCACAACAGAGAGGCTGTGAAGACAAACCTAAAAAAAAAAAATTAAAATTGTAGCCAGCTCAGGGCTTTTGGGGATGAAAGGATCTTCGCCAAACGCCGAAGCTTTCCCGGAGAGATTGCAAAGATAAAAGGGGCAATTGAGGCGTATTCCGGAAGGGAGCAAAACAATCTGGAAAGGGTGTTTGTGGGTCAAGGATCCAGTCTGGACCTGCTGCTGCTGCCGAAACATTTGTGTAAAACAACCATCTGGAGGGTTTTTTTTGGTGGTGTTGGCCTAATGACATTACCGGTGAGTTTTCTCCTCCAGGAGTACATCCCCGACCTGTACACCCACTTCCTAGAGATCAGCTTAGAAGCCCACATGTACGCCTCCCAGTGGTTCCTCACCCTCTTCACTGCAAAATTCCCCCTCTACATGGTCTTCCACATCATCGACCTGCTGTTGTGTGAGGTACGTGCACCCCTGCGGTGGTTTACGCCCCAAAAAAACTCCTCTGAAGCTGGCCCTGACTCAAAAAAACCGGGTGCCTGAGAAGGCCCAAAGGTGCTTTTTCAAGAGACTTCCTTGTTTCTCTCTGAAGACATTTCGCTTCTCATCCCAGAAGCTTCTTCAGCTCTGACTGGATGGTGGAGAAGGGAAGGATTTATACTCCTTGCAGAGTGCTGGTCATTTGCCTCCTTTTAGCGGGTCGTTGAGGCCATTTGGAAGTTTACCTATGTCCTCATGGTCACCTGAACAGTGCAGATGGGTGCTGCAGGATGTTTTCTGCTCTGGGTCCCTACAAAAATTGAGATGCAGGCAATCCAGACTCTTCCCCAACGGCCTGCGACGGTCTCCAACAATGAAGGGAGACAGGGCAGAAACTGATCAAGGAGAGAAAAAACCTAGAATTAAGGAGAAATTTCCTGACAGTGAGGACAATTAACCAGTGGAACAGCTTGCCACCAGAAATTGTGGACACTCCATCACTGGAGGTTTTTAAGAAGACGCTAGACAGTCATTTCTCTGAGATGGTATAGGTTCTCCTGCTTGAGCAGGGGGCTGGACTAGAAGACCTCCAAGGTCCCTTCCAGCTTCTATTCTATTCATATTCATCCCAGAAGCTTCTTCAGCTCTGACTGGATGGTGCTGAGTAGAAGGGTTTATATTCCTTGCAGTCATCTGCTCATTAGTACTCTTTCTGAGAGTCGTTGAGGCCACGTGGAGGTTTACCTGTGTCCTCAGGGTCACCTGAGTGGTGCAAATGGGTGTGGGGCCTTCTTGGCTGCAGGATGTTGTCTGCCCTGGGTCCCTTCCCTGTTGGAGACGGGCGCAGGCTGTTGGGGATGAGTCTGTGTTGTCTGCATCTCAAACCGAAGCACAAATGGTTCCCGTAGTCGGCAATGTTTTCTGGAAATCCGTTCAGACTCCCTCACCCTTCAAAGGGGGTTCATCCCAAAGGACATAGCTGAATGTCTACATAGATCCTCAGTCATCCAGGTCCTGGTTGTCCCAAAGGTGCTTTTTCAGGAGGCCACTGGACTTTCTTGTTTTTCTTTGAAGATGTTTCGCTTCTCATCCCAGAAGCTTCTTCAGCTCTGACTGGATGGTGGGGAAGGGAAGGATTTATACTCCTTGTAGACAGCTGGTCATTTGCCTTCTTTTAGGGAGTCTTTAGATGCTTGCACTTTGTAAGGACCCACCCCACTTTACATCTTAAGAAGACAGAACTCTTGGAATATCTCTTCCAACAGGCATCTTTATTAAAAGAAGATGGTTACAGGCGTTCTAGACAGGATCTGAGGGGCCAACCCCTTACCATTCAAGGTTTTAAGTGTTCCCAAGCAGCCCCCACCCCACCGTCCTTCCAGCGACGATCCCAGGCGTTACATTTCCACCCCTTTTTCCTCACTGCCGGCAGAAGGGAGACTTCAGAGAGAGAGTAGATGAGAGGCGATGGCCATATTGTTATGGTCAGTCCTCTTGATGAGAATCAACATCCAGTCCTTTGTAGTTTAAATGAAGGAAGTGAGGGTCATAAAACCCCCTTGCTCCCTCCTCCCCTTTCGTAGTATGACAGAATCCACAAAGAGTAAGACATGGGTCTTTTTTCAGAGTTGGTAGCTAGAATTGAAATATAATTGGATTCTGACACACTTTTGGGATGAACCCCCTTTGAATCCACGCCCTCCTACTTGCCTAAACGTCTTTTGTACCGTCTGATGTCCGTGGCAGACGCGAAGTCAAACTCTAAGTCTGTTGGGTCTGAGAAGGGGTTGACGGACGCGGACAGAGGTTGTTCCTTTCCCTGGGGTCCCGTCTTTTGTAGGACGTCTCTCGTGTCGAGGTTGAAGAGTTACTGAGTCCACTGGGACTCCTGACAGGTAAACCTCCAAATGGCCTCAACGACTCTCTAAAAGGATGCAAATGACCAGCTGTCTGCAAGGAGGATAAATCTTTCCATTCCCCACCATCCAGTCAGAGCCGAAGAAGCTTCTGGGATGAGAAGAGAAACGTCTTCAAAGGAAAAACAAAGTCCAGTTACATCCTGAAAAAGCACCTTTGGGATAACTATGACCTGGAGGGCAGAGAATCTCCGTAGACATCGTGACTGGGAAGAGTTTCATGCTTTGGAGCGAAGGCGAGTCAACTTTCCCATTTTCCACTTGTTTTGTAGCCGTGACCTCACGGTTTCCGAGCATTTTTTGAGGGTATTTATATTATTTTCTGCCTCGGAGATGTTAATCGCGTCGTTTCTCAGAATCCACTTCGGGAGGGGACGGTGCGATCCAAAGCTTTGGGGGCTGGCAAGGTGTGGGGAGGGGGGGGCTGGCTTTGTGTTCTGGCATCTCTTGCTGGGAGGGGGGGGGAATGTCCTCTGAGTCACGGGAAGGAAGTGATTCAGCCAGCCAGGAAAAGTTGGAACGCAGCTCACCGAGGCACCTGGAAAGGCCACGTCGCTTTTAGCCACGCTTGGAGATCAAATCACCCTCGTATCAAGGAGGGGTTTTTCCTACCACCTGCCGTCTCCTTGGCCTAGTGGCTCACACCAGTTCCCTTCTGTTGGACTGCAGAACCCAGCATTCCCAGCCCAGCGGGCTCTGGACATGTAGCCCTTGACTTACAACAGTTTGGTGACCGTTCAAAGTTAACAACGGCTCTGTCCAAAGTGACTTAACGACCATTTTTCATACTGATGACCGTTGCAGCATCCCCAGGGTCAAAATTCAAAACTGGGCCACTGACTCGTATTTACGACGGTCAGGTGATCCCCTTTGGCGACCTTTTGACAAGCCAGGTTGTCGAGGAAGCCACTGAACACTGAACAGCCGTGTTACTAACTTGATTCAACTTAACAACTGCGGCGACCCAGGTCGTAAAATGAGGCAAAGCTCACTTAAGACAGTTCTCATTTAGCAACATAAATCTTGGGCTCCGTTGTGACCGTAAGTCAACGGCTGCCTGTACTGTGGAAAGAATTAGGAGAGCCCGGATTTGAAATCAAAGGCTTTAAATCTCGAACCTGGTGGCAGTCTGGGAACTGTTCCTGATGAGGCAGGCTGTCCATCTGGGGTGGGAGCTTTCCATGTCGTTGAGCAATTGGCCAGAATCTTGGAACTTTGAGGGCAATTATTCCCTTTCTCTTACTCGGGGACCACGATCAAGTCAACGTTGACCGTTTGTGTGGTGGCCTTCCAGGCTGCCTCCTCATCTCCCCACCCCTTTTCTCCACTCTTCTCAAGACGGACACCGCTCCCCATGGTGCCCTTGGGAAGCGGGGTGGGTGTGTGGCTCCTTAGTGCAACCCGAAAAGATGTCCCCCGTGCAGACTTTGAGGTCAAAAGGTTGGCTTCCTTCCGAAGTTTCCCCGAAAATAAGACCCAACTGGAAAATAAGCCCAACCACAAATTTTCAGGACGCTCATAATAATAATGATTAGGATATGAATAGAATAGAATAGAATAGAATAGAATAGAATAGAATAGGGAATAAAATAGAATAGAATAGAATAGAATAGGAATAGAATAGGAATAGAATAGAATAGAATAGAATAGGAATAGAATAGAATAGAATAGAATAGAATAGAATATTGGAATAGAATAGAATAGAATAGGAATAGAATAGAATAGAATAGAATAGAATAGAATAGAATAGAATAGAATATTGGAATAGAATAGAATAGAATAGAATAGAATAGAATAGAATAGAATAGAATAGAATAGAATAGAACAGAACAGAACAGAACCTTGGAGGTCTTCTAGTCCAGCCCCCTGCTCAAGCAGGAGAAACCCCCCACCCAAAAAAAATAAGCCCCAGTTAAGATCGTCAGCCAGACGGAAGCATTTAGTACCGTATTTCCCTGAATATAAGCCCTAACCAGAAAATAAGCCCTAATGTGTCTTTTGGAGCAAAAATCAATATAAGAGCCGGTCTTATTTCCGGGGCAACGTGATAAACCATCCGCATAGAGGGACCTCTTGCTATTCGGGAGAATCCAGGTAAACCCTCGATTCAGTGTGCCAGAGAAGCCAGCCAGGTCAAGGAAGACCTGAAGCTTGCAGAGCCCCGGAAGCCTTGCAGAAACCTCAAGGCCCTTCAACCTTGAGAAGCCTTCAGTGAGTGTTGTTTTTTCCCCCCCTTCCCTTTTCTTTTACAGGGCATCAGTGTTATTTTTAACGTTGCCCTCGGATTGTTAAAAGTGAGTATTTCCTGTCCTGGGCCGGGTCACACCCTTCCTGCCTCTCTGCGCAGCCACGGGGCAGGGCAGGCCGAGCTAAGACGGCTGGAATTTGAATTCCTTGGGGATTGAAATCATTTTCAGCCTCAAGTCTCAAAGCTGCTGACACGAGGACGGAGGGCTGGGGGAGGCTGGGAAGCATGGGCCTGCTGATATTCCTTGGGACCACCCCTCCCTTCCTCCGCGTCCTTTTTTTCCTGACCTGCGGGTTGCCGAAAAGAATTGGGGGGGGTCCCAAACCGAATCAGGAGAGGGATGGGGCAGAGGAGAGGCTGAAATTGGCTCACAGATCTTCTTTTCCCCCCAAAAAGACATTTCCACCTCTACTTCTTCTTCCTTAATTTTCCCTGCTCTGCTTCTTGTGGGGCTCACGCATCACAGATAGTCCCGTTAAGTTCATTCGGGGACCACACTTAACAACGGCGCTGGAAAAAAGCGACTTACGACCGTTTTTTTCACGCTTACGACGACCGTTGCAGCCTCCCCAGGGTGTGTGTGTGTGTTTCCTGTTACCAAAATCCAGCCACTTGGCCACTGGCTCATATTTATGATGGCTGCAACGTCCCCTGTGTGTGTGTGTGTGTGTGTGTGTGTGTGTGTGTGTCACGTGACCCCCTTTTGCGGCCTTCCGACCAGCAAAGTCAAAGGGGGAGCCGGCTTCGTTGAATGACCACGTCCCTAACTTAAAAAAAACTGCAGGGATTCAGGTTGAACAACAGTGGCCCCCCCCCCCAAAAAAGGTCCTCAGACGCGGCCGAATTCACTTAGCGACATTGACGTCCACCTCGGCTGCGGTCGTAAGCCCGAGGACTCCCTGTTATAACCTGGGAAAGGCACGCGCAAGGCGTATAAAAGGGCCGAATTCCTGCCCGGGCCCGCCCTCTTTGAGGGAGGGCGAATGGTGCTCCTTGCCTGGTTCTGGGTTCGAGGTGGAGGGCGCTGAAGGACTTAATTTCTCCCCTCCCCCCCTTGCGTGTTCCTAGACCACCAGGGACGACTTGCTGCTGACGGATTTTGAGGGGGCTTTAAAGTTCTTCCGCGTGCAGCTGCCCAAGAGGTATCGGTCGGAGGAGAACGCCAAGAAACTGATGGAGCTGGCATGTAGCATGAAGGTAACTGGGGAGGGGGGGGGATCAGCCAGCCCCCCGAGGGGGCGAGGGGGAGGAAGATCTCCGTCGCTTCCGAGGAGGGGGCTGCCACGCAGATATACCGCCGCCTCTGGGTGTCCATAACCGCCTCGCTGTGCCGGAAGGATTTCTGGCACGGTGGCTGTTGGTGGGGGGGGGGGGCGAGCTGCTGGCTGGGTCAGCCTTCTCTTGCCCTGGGTCAGCTCTGGAAGTAAGCCAGGATGGGCGAGGCAAAGACAGGGAGGGTCCCACTTTGCCAAGGGTTACAAGGTGTGAAGGTGACCTGAATGCGGAACTGGGAAAAAGGAGGGCTGAGGGCACCTGGGGACCCCTGGGTCTGTCCAGGAAGTCTATTTCACCAGGCCTAGTTGAGGTTTCCTTCCTTCCTTTTCCTTCCTCCTTTCCTTCCTTCCTTCTTCCTTTTCCCCCCCCTCTTTTCCTTCCTTCCTCCCTTCCTTACTTCATGCATTCATTCATATCTCCCTCCCTCCCTTCTTCCTTCCTTCCTCTTCCTTCATCCTTTCTCCCTCCCTCCCTTCCTTCCCTCCCTCCCTCATTCCCATCTCCTTCCTTCCTCTTCCTTCCTCCCTCCCTCCCTCCCTTCCTTCTTTCTTCCTTTTCCCTCCTTCCTTCCTATCTTCCTTCCTTCCTTCCTTCATGCATTCATTTATATCTCCTTCCTTTCTGGTCGGTCTCTCTGATCCATCCCCTTCGGCTGCCTTACGCTGGAAGGCAAAAGGAGGAATTTCCCCCCTTTGCCTCTTTCTCTTCGTGGGTGCGTGCACACACACACACACACACACACACACACACACACACACACACACACACACACTCCTGGACAGCTCTTCTGCCTCAGGGTCACTAGAGGGAGCACCAGGACCAGCTTAACAAAATTCACACAACCCTTTTTTCTGGCCAAGCTTTGGCATCTCTGCAGCCAGGAGGAGGCAAGGTGGGACCCAATCCTGCAATCCCCGGTGCCTCCTGTGGCTTTCAAATCTTCAGCAACTTTAGCAGGCAAAAAGATTTTAGGAGGAAAAATCTTTCTCCTCTTACAATACTAGATCAGCACAGGTATAGTACAGAGGGTACCTTGCTCAATAGTAGTAACTGTGAGAGGGACCTCGGAGTCCTAGTGGACAATCCCTTGAATAGGAGTCAGCCGTGTGCTGCAGCTGCCAAAAAGGCCAACACAGTGCTAGGCTGCATTAACAGAGGGATAGAATCAAGATCACGTGAAGTGTTAATACCACTTTACAAGGCCTTGGTAAGGCCACCCTTGGAATACTACATCCAGTTTTGGTCAGCAGCTCCTTGGGTCATCTGAGCTCTCTGAGTTGGGGCAGGAAGAACCTTGAGCTTTTCTGTTAACATTTTTGGCATTAAGTGTCCATTTCAGGTCTTGAGATATTCTAGAACCCAGAAACCTGAAGATCTTTTAATTTTAATAATTTAATAATAATAAAGTTGGAGGGGACCTTGGAAGTCATCTAGTCCAACCCCCTGCTCAGGCAGGAAACCCTATACCATTTCAGACAAATGGCTGTCCAGTCTCTTCTTAAAAACTTCCAGTGTTGGAGCATTCACCGCTTCTGAAGGCAGGTTGTTCCACTGGTTAATTGTCCTCACCGTTAGGAAGTTTCTCCTTAATTCCAGGTTGCTTCTCTCCTTGATCAGTTTCCATCCATTGCTTCTTGTCCTGCCTTCAGAAAGTGCTTTGGAGAATAGCTTGACTCCCTCTTCTTTGGGGCAACCCCTGAGATACTGGAAGACTGCTATCCTGGTCCCCCCTCGTCCTTCTGTTCGTTAAACTAGACATACCCAATTCCAGCAACCGTTCCTTGTATGTTTTAGCCTCCGGTCCCCAAATCATCCTTGTTGCTCTTCTCTGTACTCTTTCCAGAGTCTCAACATCTTTTTTACATCGTGGTGACCAAAACTGGATGCAGTATTCCAAGTGTGGCCTTACCAAGGCCTTGTAAAGTGGTATTAATACTTCACGTGATCTCAATTCTATCCCTCTGTTAATGCAGCCCAGCACTGTGTTGTCCTTTTTTGGCAGCTGCAGCACACTGCTGGCTCCAATGAAGAATTCTCTCCCATTCTGTTCTATCCACGAAGCTCTAATATGTGGGTTTTTGTTTTTTTTTAAGATTAGCCAAAAGAAGTTGAAGAAATACGAGCGGGAATATCACACGATGCGGGAGCAGCAGGCCCAGCAGGAGGATCCCATTGAAAGGTTTGAGGTGAGCCTCTCCTGGTGTGTGTGTGTGTGTGCAGACTAGACAAGGGGGTAGCACAAAGACACAAAAGCCGGATCCAGACTGAACCTTATCCCCCCTCGCAAAATAAACCAAGTTCTTGGCAACAACAACAAAAAAAAAAAGCCAAGATTCTGGCCTTGAGTCACTCGACACTTCCCCGGTTATCTCTTCTTCTCTTTATCTTTCTGGCCTTGCTCTTTTTTCTTTCTTTCTCCTCCTCCTGTTCAAACTTGAGTGGGCCTCACTTAGATGGCCTCTAAAACCCAAAACACTATTTTTGCAGATTCGGTCTCCCTTCGCAGGCTCCGGAGTTGGCCGAGGGCTGTCTTCAGCTGCTGCTTTTATGCCTTTTCATTTATCTCCTTTTGCCCACCGAAAGCAGGGACAGGCTAACCCCGGGGGAGTCCCCGCTTGGCCACACGGTCTTCATTTGGGCCAAAACCTTAAATTGAATTTTATTATGAGGGCCCGTTCCAGAAGGATGAGGGTGGCGTCGGGCTGGGGTTCACGCCGCCTGCCCCTTCTGGCCTCCTTGCAGAGAGAAAACCGGCGCTTGCAGGAAGCCAACATGAGGCTGGAGCAGGAGAACGACGACCTGGCCCACGAGCTGGTGACCAGCAAGATCGCCCTGCGGAAGGACCTGGACAACGTAAGCACGTCTCTCCCACTGCCGGGTGGTCAACATTTTGGGTACAGCTGGACTCTGTTGGTTAAGAGAAGGGAAACTTTCCCCCCGGGCATCTTCTAGCTGATGTGTTTATCCAGTCGTTTATTTTCCTTTTATTTCGCTGTTCTGCCCTCCTCCTCCTCCTCCTTCCTCTTCTACTTTTTCTTCCTCTCCTCCTCTTTCTTTCCCTTTTGTTTCTTTCTTTCCTTTTGTTTTTCTTTCTTCTTTCCTCCTCCTCTTCTTCTTTCTTTCCTCCTCCTTTCTTTTTCTCTCTCTCTTTCCTCCTCTTCTCTCTTTCTTTTTCTTTCTCTTTCCTCCTCCTCCTCCTCCTCTTCTTTCTTTCTTTTTTCTTTTTCTTTCTTTCTTTCCTCCTTTCTTTCTTTCTTTCTTCTTTCCTCCTCCTTTCTTTCTTTCTTTCTTTCTTCTTTCCTCTTCTTTCTTCCTTCTTTCTTTCCTCCTCCTTTTTTTCTCTCTCTTTCTTTCCTCCTCTTCTCTTTTTCTTTCTCTTTCCTCCTCCTCTTCTCTTTCTTTTTTCTTTCTATCTTTCTTTCTTTCCTCCTTTTTTTCTTTCTTCTTTCCTCCTCCTTTCTTTCTTTCCTCCTCTTCTTTCTTTCTTTCTCTTTCCTCTTCTTTCTTTCTCTTTCTTTCTTTCTTTCTTTCTTTCTTTCTTTCTTTCTTTCTTTCTTTCTTTCTTTCTTCTTTCCTCCTTTCTTTCCTCCTCTTCTCTTTCTCTTTCCTCTTCTTTCTTTTCTTTCCTCTTCTTTCTTTCCTTCTCCTTTCTTTTTTTCTCTCTCTTTCTTTCCTCCTCTTTCTTTCTCTTTCTTTCTCTTTCCTCCTCCTCTTCTCTTTCTTTCTTCTTTCTTTCTTTCTTTCTTTCTTTCTTTCTTTCTTTCTTTCTTTCTTTCCTCCTTTCTTTCTTTCCTCTTCTTTCTTTCTTTCTTTTTCTTTCTTTCTTCTTTCCTCCTTTCTTTTCTCCTCTTCTCTCTTTCTTTCTCTTTCCTCCTCTTCTTTCTTTCTTTCTTTCTTTCTTTCTTTCCTTCCTTCCCTCCCTCCCTCCCTCCCTCCCTCCCTTCCTTTCTCCTCCCTTACCAAAGGTACGTCTCAGGCTGTCCCTGAGACTCGCACACCTACGTGGAAGGAAAACTTCCAAGGTGAAGCCTCCTTGGATGAAAATCCATTTTCTTTAAAACTTTCCCCCAATTTGGCAGCAGGCTTTATCATTCTGATCTACGACACTCCGACTGCCAGTCTCCCCTTGGCCAAGATTAAGCTTCGTGTCTTGTCATCCTCATAACGCCCACAGAACACCGGAGCCTTCGCATTTCAGGTCACTGTGACATCGTTCCCGCTTGTTTCCTGGGGCGAAAAGCCTGCAAGAAGACAGGACGTTTTCACACAGGCAAACAGGCTGTCTTGCCAGCCCGCCAGGATGGTGGGCTAGAGGCATCTTGGCAACCCCGAGACCCACGTCTCCTTTTCTTCTCCAAGGATCCAGCCCTGCTGCTTTCTCCACTCTCCGTTACCTTAAAACCTTCCCTTGGACCACAGGGACCCCAAACCCCAAGCCAGGTTCTTTCAAACTTTCCCTTCCTGCTCTCCTCCCTTGCTCGCCTTCGGGTGGAACGTCTGGTTAAGAGCCAAGCAAGCTCTGTCTCTCTCGGTCGGGTCATTTTGTCCGTCGGTGTTTCCCATTTCCAGGCCGAGGAAAAAGCCGACGCGCTGAACAAGGAGCTCCTGATGACCAAGCAGAAGCTGATAGACGCCGAGGATGAAAAGAGAAGGCTGGAGGAGGAATCGGCTCAGGTTGGGGCAGGATCGGGCCGGAAGGGAGCTGGGGAGGTAGGAGGGAACGGGGTTCGTCCTGGTTTTAGGCGACCCCCCTCCCTGCAGTTCAGCACCTGCTAACCAAGAATCGGTGGACTTGCTTTGTCCTTCACCATCATCTCTGGTTTTCCGTAGCTATTTGTCCCCGTCATCACCTTCCCCCATCCCCGTTGGAGCAGCAGCTTCCAACCTTTTGGGCACCAGAGACCGGTTCCACGGAGAACGTTTTTTCCGTGGACCGGAGGCGGTGTGGTTTTGTGTGCTGCCTGCATTCCCCATGGATGGATGGGGCTTTGCTTATTTGCACGGCCCGGTTGTTGGCATGCTGCGAACCGGTGCGGGTTCGCAGACGGGGGGTTGGGGACCCCTGCATCAGAGAGTCCCCGAAGAGTATCTCCTTGCCCCAAGTTCTCCACATCGCCAGGACTGGCCTCTCTGCTGCTTTCTCTTGTGACTTGTGTCCCCCCCACAAGTTTGGAGTTAGAATAGAAATAATAGGAATGGGAATGGGAATAGGAATGGGATGGAATAAGGAATAGAATAAGAAATGGAATAAGGAATGGAATGGAATGGAATAGAATAGAATATAGAATAGAATGTAAAATAGAATAGAATAGAATAAATAGAATAGAATGTAGAAGAGAAGAGAATAAATAGAATAGAATGTAGAATAGAATAGAATGTAGAATAGAATAGAAAATATGGAATGGAATGGAATAAAAATAATAATAGAAATAGAATAGAATAGAATAGAATAGAATAGAATAGAATAGAAAATATGGAATGGAATGGAATAGAAATAATAGAATAGAAATAGAATAGAATAGAATAATAGAATAGAATAGAATAGAATAGAATAGAATAGAATAGAATAGAATAGAAAATATGGAATGGAATGGAATGGAATAAAAATAATAGAATAGAAATAGAATAGAATAGAATAATAGAATAGAATAGAATAGAATGTAGAATAGAATAGAATGTAGAATAGAATAGAAAATATGGAATGGAATGGAATAAAAATATATACTATAATAGAATAGAATAGAAAATTATGGAATAGAAATAAGAATAGAAATAAGGAATAGAAATAAGAATAGAAATAAGGAATAGAATAGAATAGAATAGAATAGAATAGAATAGAATAGAATAGCTGGAAGGGACCTTGGAGGTCTTCTAGTCCAGCCCCTGCTCAGGCAGGAGAACCTACACAGTCTCAGACAGGTGACTGTCTAGTCTGGAGGTTAGAGAGAGGGAAGGGCTGAGCCCAGAGACCTTGCTGGAGGGATGAATGAAGGACCGGACTTTCCCGTCTCCTCTTCCAGCTGAAGGAGATGTGTCGGAGAGAACTGGACAAGGCCGAGTTGGAGATCAAGAAAAACAGCTCCATCATTGGCGACTACAAGCAGGTCTGTCGGAGGCCGCTGTTCCGAAGCAACCCTGGGGATCAGGCTCCCTCGGGCCAGAACAGCTCCACCGCCTTCCTTCTGACCCAGAACCAAAGGGAGGCGTCCCCTCGTTTCATCTCAAAAAGGGAAGCGGAAGGGGGTTGCCCCCAAATTAACAGAGTTGGGAGGGACCTCGGAGGTCATCTAGTCCAACCCCTCTGGTCGAGCAGGAGACCCTTACAGAACCATAGAATGACAGCGTTGGGAGGGACCTTGGAGGTCATCTGGTCCAACCCCCTTGGTCGAGCTGGAGATTCTTACAGAATCATAGAATGGCAGAGTTGGGAGGGACCTCGGAGGTCATCTAGTCCAACCCCTCTGGTCGAGCAGGAGACCTTTACAGAATCATAGAATGACAAAGTTGGGAGGGACCTTGGAGGTCATCTAGTCCAACCCCTCTGGTCGAGCAGGAGACCCTTACAGAATCATCGAATGACAGAGTTGGGAGGGACCTTGGAGGTCATCTAGTCCAACCCCTCTGGTCGAGCAGGAGACCTTTACAGAATCATAGAATGACAGAGTTGGGAGGGACCTTGGGGGTCATCTAGTCCAACCCCCTGCTCAAGCCGGAGACCCTTACAGAATCATAGAATGACAGAGTTGGGAGGGATCTTGGAGGTCATCTAGTCCAACCCCCTTTGTCGAGCAGGAGACCCTATATCATTCCAGACAAATGAATGTCCAATCTCTTCTAAAAAGCCTCCAGTGATGGAACATCACTGATCAAAATGAAAAAAAAAAAAAAGACGATCAAGCTTCACCCTCTGTGAGGAAGAGAAACCAATTATTTTGGTTTCTTAGCTTAAGACCTAAAGCAAGACCGACTCAGAAAGCCTTGGGCCAGTGGTTAAGAAACGGCAGAGAGCAGTTGCAAATCCCCTGCCCCTCGATGTGGGGCAGGCCCTTGGGGCGCGAGAGCGTAGAAGCCAAGAGAGATTTGGGGGGCGAAGTCCAGCAAGGACGAGTGGCCAGCGTGGGGATCTGGGGTGGGGGGGATGAGAAGCCCTATCTGAGCTCGTGAGGCTCTACTGACCGATCCACTTTGCCTTGCAGATCTGTTCCCAGTTGAGTGAGAGGCTGGAGAAGCAGCAGGTAGCCAATAAAGCGGAAATTGAGAAAATCCGGGTAAGTAGAGGCACAGAAGAGCGGGGGTGGGGGTGGGGGTGGCAGAGGCTGCGCTGAGCACCGCCTGGAGGGCAGCCTTCCCGATTCCCTGCTTCGGGGGGGGGGTCAGATTCCAGAAGATCTCCTGAACGCTTTCCAACATCCTGTTGGTCCCTGCTTCGCTCAAGGAAGGTTGCAGAAAGAGAGAGACATCAAGTTTTCAACTTGCTGCCTTCAGACTCAACAAACTAGCCTTGCAGTTAGGTTTTTGTAGGTGGGGAGGTGTGTGGGGGTGGCAAGCAAGTTACAGGCCCTTTCAGCTGTTGCCAGCCAGCCGGGCTGCTCACAGAAGCAGCCAGTCCATCCGAGGGCAGTCAAGAGACCTGTGGTGGCACAGTGGTTAGAGTGCAGTACTGCAGGCTACTTCTGCTGACTGCCAACTGTCACCAGTTCGATCCTGGACCGGCTCAAGGTTGGCTCGGCCTTCCATCCTTCCGAGGTCGGTAAAATGAGGACCCAGATTGTTGGGGGCAAATATGCTGACTCTAAACCGCTTAGAGGGGGCTGTAAAGCACTGTGAAGCGGTATATAAGTCTATTGCTGCCTGCCTGCCTGCCTGCCTACCTACCTATCTATCTATCTATCATCTATGACATATCTATTATCTATCTAATCTGTTTATCATATCTATATGTCTATCTGTCTGTCTGTCTATCAATCATATCTATCTTAAACTGTATCTATCATATCTATATCTATGTCTGTCTATCAATCATATCTATCATCTATTATCTTATATCTATCAACTATCTATCATATCTACATCTATGTCTCTATCTCTATCATCTATCTATCTATCTATCTATCTATCTATCTCTATCAATCATCTATCAATCATATCTATCATCTATCAATCATATCTATCATCTATTATCTTATATCTATCATCTATGTAATCTATCATATCTACATCTATGTCTATATCATCTATCTATCAATCATCTATCAATCATATCTATCATCTATTATCTTATATCTATCATCTATCTAATCTATCATATGTACATTATGTCTATCTATCTATATCTATCAAATCAATCTATCTATCTCTATCCATCCATCCATCCATCCATCTCTACCTACCTACCTACCTACCTACCTACCTATCATCTGCCATGGTGGCTCAGAGGCTAGAATGTAGTATTGCAGGCTAATTCAGCTCACAGTTGGGGCTCAAGGTTGACTCGGCCTTCCATCCTTCCGAGGTCCGTAAAGTGAGGACCCAGATTATTGGGGGCAAATATGCTGACTCTGTAAACCGCTTAGAGAGGGCTATAAAGGGCTGTGTAGCAGTGTATAAGTCCAAGTCTTATTGCTATTGCTCACCGTCCACCCTTCTTGGCCACAGCAAAAGATCGACAACTGTGAACATTGTCGGGAGTTTTTCAACAAAGAAGGGCGGCTGAAGGTCGTCAGCGTCCCCAGGGAGGGCTCCGACGAGGACACCGACGAGGAGAAGGAGGGGCTGAAGAACCAGTTACGAGAAATGGAGTTGGAGCTGGCCCAGACCAAGTTGCAGCTGGTGGAGGCCGAATGCAAAATCCAGGTGAGGAAGGCTACGCAGCCGGGTCTACGCTCAGTCAGAGCTTCTGCCTCCGTGGGAATTGTACACCGGCGAGGGTCGGATCTCTCTTTTCCGATAGAATTCCTTAGTTGGGCCTTGAGAATGAAGGCTGGAGACTTTCTCGGAACGGGATACCTGGCTTTCAAGCCCTTTTCCTCTCTGCCATCTTGGAGGATTTTCCTGGGTGCCCGCAGGAGGACGCAGACCGATGGGAGACCATCCTTGGTCTGGCTTAGCAAATTCCCCTGGGTGCAATTCCATTTTTGCACTCAAAACCCAGAGACCTTTACAAACCCCTTGCCCTCTGGGTGTGAAATTAACGGGCAGCTGGCCTCCTTCAAGTTTTGAACCTACTAAGTCACCTCTAAGATGGGTGGCATAAAAATCACATCAACAAATTTACTCGCTGAACAGATTGATCTGCAAGCGTGCAGATCTGCTCTCCTAACCGAGGCTGTTCAGATGTCCCCGGTGTACCCGTTTCACGACCCCAGGGCAGGTCAGGCATCCTCACGCCCCTTTTTACGCCCTTGCTCACCCCGTCTCGTTGCCTTGCAGGACCTGGAACACGACCTGGGACAGGCGCTGAACGAGGTGCAGGCCTCGCGCAAAACCTGGTTCAACCGAACGCTCAGCTCTATAAAGACAGTGACCGGCGTCCAGGGGAAAGAGACGTGCTGAAGAGCTGGGCAGCAACCTCGGGGCGGCTCCTGGGGCCTCCCCTGGGATCCCTCCTGCCTTCCAGACCTTGTCTTGACCGGCTGCCCGCAGGAGAGAGGACCAGATGTACATAGGACTCCCGAAACGAAACACGAAACACACACCGCGAGGTGGCTGGTTTTCCTCCCCCTCCCACAGGCCGGAGACCCAAGCCAGAGACGCGGGATCTTCATACTACTGATTATTTAACCAGAGGGGGGGGACTGGGGGGGGATGTAGCTATAGACCGATGCTTTTTTTTCCCCCCTTTCTTTTCCCAGAGAACAATAATCCGCTCCGTTCTGCAGTCCGTTGGGAGGCGCTAGGTACGAAAAAATATATATATTACCACCCTCTTCCTGACTTAATCAAATTTACAAATGAGGGCTTTTCCTTTTTTTTTTTTTTTACAGTGACTTTAAAAAAAAAAAAAGATTTAATTTGAGACGAACAAAAGGACAAAACACAACAAAAAAAAAGACGACACAGCCACCGCCGGCCGCTTTTTTAACAAACCGTTCGGGAGCGCGAGCGAGCGAAAAGTTCCCCCGCTCCTTCCAAGTTAGGGGGCTGCTTGCATGGTTAACTTTTGGAAAGGGGACTCACAAAGCCCCCCCTCCCCAATGTTTGTGTGTCCCTGCCTCCCCCCTCCCCTCTTTGTACAGCGCTTACACCAATAACTTCTATGCAACTCGGCGGGGTGGGGGTGGAGGTGGGGAGCTTCTTAAGGCAAGCTCCTTGCTCCCCCACCCCTGAACAAAAGCTGAGATTCAACACCACCGTTTTATCGGGGAGGGGAGGGGTCTGTTTTATACACACACACACACACACACACACACACACACACACAACACGTGTGGCTCGTGTTTTGTGAGCTCACAACGCCCCCCCCCCCCCCCCCATGAGCTTGCTCCGGGCTCCACTTCGCTCTTGGGGAAGTCAAGGAAGGGTGAAGCCACCTCCTACTTTGCCGGTCTGGATTTGGCCCGGATGCATCCACTCCGAAAACAAGTTGCTTTGACCCTTGACCCGAGAATGGTGGACTTCCGTTTTTTGCTTATTCTCCGTTTCGGGGTGAGTTTTCTGCCTGCAGAAAGCAGGCGGGAGAGAGACGACGGCCCGGAGGACGGAGGGAGCTTCGTTTTGACCGCTACTACTGCTGCTGAACTCACCGGGCCAGGCTCCAGGTTCCCCTTCCCATCAAACACTCCCTAATTTGTAACTACACAAGTAGGTAATAACGCTACTTTCCGTTTCTGAGGGCTTTAGAGCAAAGGGGGGGGGGTCTCCAGCCTTGGCAACTGGTAGACTTCAACTCCCAGAATTCCTTAGCCGGCCTCATGCTGCCTGAGGCATTCTGGGAGCTGAAGTCCACACAGTCTTCAAATTGTCAAGGTGGAAGACCCCTCGCTTAAGAGCAGGGGGTCTTCAGACTTGGCCCTTTGGTGACTTGTGGACTTCAACTCCTAGAATTCCTTAGCCGGCCTCATGCTGCCTGAGGCATTCTGGGAGCTGAAGTNTCGGTGGCCGGCCTTCGCAGGGGGTGACGGCGGCAGCAGCAGCTCTCCGGATGTTGGGGAGCACGCGCCCCACTGCAGGTGCTGGGGGTCGGGTCTACACGCAGAGAAGGTGCCCATGTGCTCGGCTTCTACACAAGGCCTCCAGCACGCCCGCCACAGCTGTACTGGAGGGGACAGAATGGGTCAGAAGCCCCTCGGGAGGGATACGCTTGTGGGTGGGTGCTGCACCCCCTGCCTTCAGCAGAGAGGGGTCCCGGTACGTGTCTCAGGTGGCTGTTAACTCTTGGCATGGTTTTCTCTTTTGGGTTCGGGGTGGGGAGATACAGCAGACCCAGGAGTTAGTTTGCCATGTGCACAACACAGAGAGGAAAGGACCTTGGCAAGAACAGGCAAATGGCAGGGAGCTGGGTCTCCTGCTTCACCAGGGGGCTGGGCTAGAAGACCTCCAAGGTCCCTTCCGAGCCTTTTCTGTGTGAATTAAAGCTGCTGGAGACTGGAAATGTCGGGGTGAGGCTGTTCTTTTTTTCCCCCTGGTTTTTCTTCTTGCTGGGGGGTTAGACTAGAAGACCCCCAAGGTCCCTTCCAACTCCATTCTATTCCATTCCAAGATTCTATTCTATTCCATTCCAAGATTCTATTCTATTCCAAGTTTCTATTCTATTCTATTCTAAGATTCTATTCTATTCCATGATTCTATTCTATTCCAAGATTCGATTCTATTACATTCCAAGATTCTATTCCATTCCAAGATTCTATTCTATTCCATGATTCTATACTATTCTATTCCAAGATTCGATTCTATTCCATTCCAATATTCTATTCCATGATTCTATTCTATTCCATGATTCTATTCTATTCCAAGATTCGATTCTATTACATTCCAAGATTCTATTCCATTCCAAGATTCTATTCTATTCCATGATTCTATACTATTCTATTCCAAGATTCGATTCTATTCCATTCCAAGATTCTATTCTATTCCATGATTCTATTCTATTCCAAGATTCTATTCTATTCCATGATTCTATACTATTCTATTCCAAGATTCGATTCTATTCCATTCCAAGATTCTATTCTATTCCATGATTCTATTCTATTCCAAGATTCGATTCTATTACATTCCAAGATTCTATTCCATTCCAAGATTCTATTCTATTCCAAAATTCTATTCTATTCCAAGATTCTATTCTATTCCATGATTCTATTCTATTCCATTCCATGATTCTATTCCATTCCATTCCATGATTCTATTCTATTCCAAGATTCTATTCTATTCTAATCTATTTTCTAATTCTATAATTCCTATTCTGTTCTGTTCTATTCTATTAATTCTAATTCTATTCTTGAATGGGGAGTGAGACCCCCTAGGGGGGAATTCTGCCCTCAGCTCATTGTCTTTGTCCTCTATGCCCTCTTTCCGAGCCTTGCTCCCGCCCCCTCAAAGCTGCACCGTTTTTGGCAGCCTTGAACTCTACCCAATTCCTGCTTCTGTGCCTTCTTCCTTTGTGCCAACGTCTCTCCCCCCTCTGCCCAGGCAAGCTTCCCCCATCACCACACTTGGGCTGGAGATGGTGGCCTTTGCCCAAGCCGGCACGTGGCAAAGGGCCCTACCCTTTAGGAGCCTTGCTGGGTTAGGAGATGGGGAGGGTGGCACGTGAGTCCTGAGCATCTTTTGGTGGTGTAGGCGACACTTTCCAACGGGCAGGAGTGTCTCTGTCCCACCAAGGCCTCTCCTGGCAAGCGGTGCCTGTGCCCGGCATTCCGCAAGGCCCTCTGCCATTGCCAGAGCTGGGGGAAAAAAACATTTCCAAAGAGCGGGATAGGGTATCTGCAACCCAAACGTGAGCTGGCCCCGCCGAGAAATTTAACGACGCCTCTTCGTCCCAGGGCGCTGATTCGATTAACAACTAGGCAGCAAAAACCTTCTCTTTAATGGCATACAGATGCTGAAAACACAACTATTACCCTTTACTACTCCTCTTTAACACTTTTCTGCCTGTCCGGGTCATAAATATCCAGGGCTTGTCAGCACTCTGGAATTCACTGGGAAAAAAAGTGAGGAATGCTAGTGGAACCTCACCAGATGCAAGAAACAGCTGTCAAACTTGGCTCCAGGTTTTTCAGCCTAGGCGCGCCGAGAGCATTTCAGCCAGGTATCTCTCTGGTTCAAACCCCAAAAGGGAGGGCTGTGCAACGCTCTTTGCACTCGTGAGCCCCCCTTCCCCAAAAAACAGGCCCGAGGTGTGTGGAATTTTCAAGGGATTCCGGTGCCCATCATCTGCCAGGTGGAACTGAAATGTAATTTTACTGCCCCTTTTCCCGCTTTAAATGCACCTGGCGTTTCGTCTCTTTGCAGGGAGCTTCCATAGCTTCAGGATGAGGGGGGGGGTCTTCTTTTTCCACAGCCCCCAGCTCTGTGGGGTTTTAAACCCCCCCTCTTCCGCCTTAGCCTTCTGCACAATTCCTTTGCAGGTTATCTACTTACCTTAGGAAGGTGTGAGCTGCAGGTATTCAAAATCCAAAACAATTCCATTCGTTTTTCCCGAGACTGGCCACTGTTCTCACTTGGCCGGCCGGCCTGCCACCGCCACCCCCCAGAATAGAACCCCTCCCACCTTTTTTCCCTTTTTATTTTCCAACTCTGAAAAGCAAAAAATATTTCCCTCTTTGTTGCTTTATAAAAGGATGGGGGGGGGGGAGGAAAGCAGGGCAGCCAGACATGTCAGCATGCCCCCCCCGTAACCAAGAAAGGAAATTGGGCTTTTGAGCGTAACGTGTTGCAGGAAATAAAAGACATTTTGATGGGTCTCATATCTGGGCCGCTCTTCAGCAAAGCAGACAGCCAAGATTGCAGCGTGGCTCTTTCGGGGGAGACGCTCCAGGACAGGGTGGACGTGGGGAAGACATTCTTTGGAATCTAAGCAGCAGCCTTAATTTCCTTCTAAACCAGGGGTGTCCGACCTTAATAATAATAAAGTTGGAAGGGACCTTGGAGGTCATCTAGTCCAGCCCCCCACTCAGGCAGGAAACCCTATCCCATTACAGACAAATGGCTGTCCAGTCTCTTCTTAAAAACTTCCAGTGTTGGAGCATTTGCCGCTTCTGGAGGCAGGTTGTTCCACTGGTTAATTGTTCTCACTGTCAGGAAGTTTCTCCTTAGTTCCAGGTTGCTTCTCTCCTTGATTAGTTTCCATCCGTTGCTTCTTGTCCTGCCTTCAGGCGTTTTGGAGAATAGCTTGACTCCCTCTTCTTTGGGGCAGCCCGAGATATTGGAAGACTGCTATCATGAGAAACAATGGTTGGAAGCTGATCAAAGAGAGAAGCAACCTGGAATTAAGGAGAAACTTCCTGGCCGTGAGGACAATCAACCATTGGAACAGCTTGCCACCAGAAATCGTGGGCGCTCCATCACTGGAGATTTTAAAGAAGAGATTGGACATCCACCTGTCTGAGACAGTATAGGTTCTCCTGCTTGAGCAGGGGGCTGGACTAGAAGACCTCCAAGGTCCCTTCCAGCTCTATTCTATTCTATTCTATTCTAATTCCATTCCATTCTAAATTCTGTCACCCCTCATCCTTCTCTTCATTAAACTAGACATACCCAATTCCAGCAACCATTCCTTATATGTTT